TTTGTTGTTTGTTTAGTAAATAACGCCAATACAGATTTTTGAAAAATTGGATTTTTCATATGTTTTACTATTGATCGCACCAATAAGATTAAAATCGAACGTTCTTTCATCGCTCAAATGCCAAGAGTTTGGGGAAACAAGTCCGTAAAATCGTCTCAATACAAGTCACGCGACGATATCAGGCGACTAGGCCTTTCATCTTTTGAATTCATTTGTTTTGTCATGATAAACAAGTCCTCATTCGGTTCGTAATCAAGCGCTTACTTTCGGCTTATCATAAATCGAATTACGCAAATATTCCAATCTTTTGTCTTGGCAGAACTTCCGATTCTGACATATTATCGTTTCATGTTGTTGACAATAAATTGCCAAGTTTAATTGTCGCGAATTTGAAGTCCGTATCAAACAATCTTGTTATTCGACTGTTTATACGCCAATTTATTAATTCGTATTATAACACATATAATCCACTGAAATCTTTCCTATTCCTACTTTGGGGTTTCTACCAATTGAAATTACTCGTTTCGGTGATAAGGCTTTCAATCAGTTCTACAAAAATTGGTTCTAGTGTGAACAGATAACGGCGTGACTTGCTAATAAATATACATAGACGCAGATAACTCCCAACCATTTCAGATGCTATGTGACAACGTCAAGACAAAGTCGGACTGAGAGTACACTGAGCGCCTCAATCATTGATGGCTTGCTGGAAAATTCTGATGAGCGTACAAGTTTGGATCGGGCAAGATTTCGAATAGTCAGTATGTCCTGATGTGAGGCTTGAGAATCTAAAGCCTGAATATATGAACGAAACGGTGGCCGACCTAAGTACGTCAAGCGCATTGGATCCATCACAGTCGCAGACGCAGTTGATGTATCGTCAATAGTATCCACTAAATAAAATGGCGGCATTAGTTCAAGACCCCCACGCGAAACACGGGTAGACGGATCATGTAAAGATTCAGTTAGAAAGTTGATGTAGTGTCCAACAAAAGCGTAAACGTCCTTCCATACGATTCTCCATGAGCACGTCGAAGAGGAATGAAGTAATCATCTCTCGTCCGGTCGGCAGCAAGGAACGGGCTTCATCGAAAACAAATATGAACTGAACCTTGAAGCGGCGATCAAATAAACAACTAGCGTTATCGAGAGCTTGCCGCATCCTCTCACGGCGTTCAGCTTCATTCATAGTGGTTAATTTGTCTTGACTTCTTTCATGATATTAGGTCCATGTTATCAAGTTATGAGAGGGAAAAAAAAGAAAGCTGAAGATGTACCGTTTAATGAACTGTGACTAATGATTGAAAAATTTAAATACGCGATTTATCCCTTATTAATATTAATAAGAATAATTTTTATTTTCTGCTTATAAACGCGATTTTTTGAGGTATGAAATGAAAAATAAAAATTCTTACTAAATGGTCCTTCTTTCTGCTCGTCAAGCATCGAAACAGCTTGGAGTCTCATCCAGAACTCTACGTCGTTGGCACTCTCAAGGACGTATAAAAGCAGAACGAACCTACAGTGGCATCCGCAACGGAACGACCTCGAACGACAGAAACACGATCTCCAACAACTCTATCCTTCACATCTCGTCCTCACAGACGTTG